AAACTGGTGCATGATTCTCCCAACCTCTGTGCTGGGACTGCTGAAGTTTTGTGTTTCAATAGCAATGTCCCTGAGATGGTGAATCCTTCATTAGCCCAGATCCCTAAGTAGCTACAAGGAGAAAGCCCCCCTTAATGAGCCTACACTGGCTAAGTAACATAAGCAAGAAATAACTTCCAGTAAGCTAGTGAAGTTTGGGAGTTGTTACTACAGTGAATGTGGCCCATCTTAACAGTTTTCCTTAGCAGAACTGGTGGTACCTAACATTTCCCAGGGTGCTTGCTAACCAGCCAATGATGAGGAAAAGACTTAATGAACTCAAAATGGAGGCTCTTCACTCTCTGCTCTCCTGAGAGTTTATAGTGGCTATGATTCAGGCATCTCTTGATCTATTTAGCAGTGAGCAGCTCTCATGTTCCCAGAATTCTACTGGACTAGGTATGTCCACAAAAATGTCTCCCAGGAAGCTATTTCAATGTTGACATTTGTTCAGAAACGTTCAGCCAAGTACACATTCATTTAAAAAGCTGGCCACCTAAGTACCCAGGCAGAACTAGAGCGAAGCTTTGAAGCTGACTCCTGAACCCATTCCAGATGGAAGAAAGTACATTCCTCACAAGGTGACATCTTGTTCCTCAGTAACCCAGGCTGTATCCACTGTTGACATCCATGGTTACCCAAACATGGAGACCTGCTCTCCTGGATTCTCAAGGTCTTAACTCAGTTTCCATGGCCACAACACATGGTTTGAACAAACAACATTTCTGATCTCATCAGATTCTCACATTTGGAAAGTAAGATATTTGAAGAACCAGTTTACTCTGAAACATGAAAATCAAAGAGCATGTTTAGAGTTGAGTACTGTAACCAAATGAAAACAAGCTGATTCAGGAACCTCATTTTCCACCAATAGTAAAAGAAATGACTACTTAAAAATTATTTCATGGGGCTGGAGGAATGGCTCAGTGGTTAAGAGCACTAGCTGCTCTTGCAGAGGACCTGGGTTTGTTTCCTAGCACCCACATGGTGGTTAACAACTGCCCGTAATTCCAGTTCCAGGGGATCCGACACCCTCTTCTGAACTCTGCAGGTGTTGCATGACATGGGTGCACTTACACACATGCAGGCAACACACTCATACAAATAAAATAAAAATAATAAATATTTTTAAAAACTTATTTCACAATTGTTGACATTTCAACAGAGTGTATGTATTTACTTTTATTTTGTATGTCTTGTTCTGAAGACGGAACCCTTCCGCATGCCAGGCAAGTGCTTTACCACTGGGGTACACTCCCAGAACAAAGTGTTTTCATTTTTCTAGACAGAGTCTCATATAGGCCAGGCTGGCTAATAGCTGCCTATACAGAACTTCGGATCCTTCTGCCTCCACCTCCCAAGTGCTGGGATTACGGGCATGTACCACCATGTCTGTTTATACAGTGCTGGAGATCCATCCATGTCAGGCATGCACTTTACCAGTTGAGCTACATCTCTAGTTTCCAAGTATGTCTTATCAATGATAAAGAGCCTGATTTTGAGAATGGCATTGTGAATAAGAGAATAGCCTCATTCTTAGGAAATACACAGTTAAGTATGTAGGGGTAGAGGGTCACAGTATTTGCAATTCAAACTATTAATAAACTATATACCATGAAGAGAGAAACAGAGACAGGGAAATAAAATATGGTAAAAGATTAACAACTGGGAAACTTAGGTGAATGGCCAAAATATTCATTCTACTATTCTTGCAATTTTTTTGTAGGTATGAAAATGTCAAAGTAAAATGTTTTTAAAAGTGGAAGGGAATACACTTGCCTATGTGAGCACACCCATGCATGCTTAGAAGCCAGAGGAGAAGAAAGCAGCAAGTACTCTGTGCTATCACGCTCAGGTATCAGCAGGTACTCTGCGCTATCACACTTTACCTTATTCCCTTGAGACAGTACTGAACCAGCAACTTCCAGGGATTTCTGGGCTTTTTATGGGGCTGGTGACCAGAAAGATTTGAACTTAGGTCCTCATTCTTGCACAGCAAATGCTCTTACCTGCTGAGCCATCTCCCTAGACCCAAAAGTAAAACACCTTTTAAAATCATGCATGTGCAAGGGCCAATGAGATGGCTGAATGGGTAAAGTTGCTTGCTGTAAAGTCTGATGACATGAGATTGATCCCCAGGACCCACATGGTTGAGAGAACCAACTCCACCAAGTTGTCTTCTGACCTCCCCACATAAGTATAAGAGCCATGGCACATGAATACCCAATAATTTACACACACACACACACACACACACACAATTTTTAAAAATGCATACGCCAGACCAGGAACTTTCATTTTTTAAACTACAATCCCATAATAAAATATAAATTATACACAGCAACCCAGTACACACAATTTGAACAATACATGCAAATTAAAAGTTTCACAACACAATGCTTACTCTCATAATACCTCTTGCTTTGTGACTTTTCTAGTCTATCATGTTTTTTGTTGCTGTTGGGATTTGTTTTGTGTGTGTGGTACTGTGCTGGGGTAGAACCCTGGACCTCGGACATAGTATACACACTCTACCACAGAGCCACAGTTCCAACCCCTTCTTGTCTTCTGTTTGCTTTGAAAGGATTTATTTCTAATTATGTGTGTATGGGGGGGGGGTAATGCACATATGTGGCTACAGGTGTCAGTGGAGTCCAGAAAAGGGCTGGAGTTACAGGCAGTTGTGAGCTACCTGACATGGATGATGGGAACTGCACTTGGATCCTCTGTAAGAGTAGTAGCACTCTTAAGGGCTGGGCCACCTCTCCAGCCCCTTGTGTTTGCTTTTAAAGGCTGGTCATTACCCATTCAACTGAGTTGATAGCCACTAATGGTCAAATCCATTTGAATTTTTTTTTTTTTTGAGAAAGGGTCTCCCTGTAGCCCCAGCTGGCCTAGAACTCACTATGTAGACCAGGCTGGCCTCAGTCTCAGAGATCTACCTGCTTTTGCTTCCTGAGTGCTAGGATTAAAGGCATGCACCACCATGCCCAGCCTATTTGAATATTCTTGTAGCAGTTTTAACTTATTATTATTATTATTATTATTATTATTATTATTGGTCTTTTTGAGACAGGGTCTCCCTGTAGCCCCAGCTGTCCTGGAACTATGTGGACCAGGCTGGCCTTGAACTCACAGAGATCCGGAGCCTCTGCCTCCAGAGTGCTGGGATTAAAGGCGTGCGCCACCACGCCTGGCTTTTAATTTAGTATTATTTAAGAAGTACTGTTGCTAGACATTGTAGTACACTCCTGTAATCCCAGCAATTGAGGAGGCTGAGTCCAAGGCCAGCCTTAGCTACATAATGAGACCTTGTAACCAAAAAAAGTACATTATGAATCCTCAAAGATTTAAAATATTGTAATTTTCAAAAAAGAAAAAAAAGTACTTTTGCCATAACAGCTTGGTGCACCCTAGTCTATGTGGGTTTTGAGAAACACTTCTTTAAATACAAAGAAAGGAACGCAGGATGTGAGGACATGTAGATTTGCAGGATGTTGACAAGTACAGCTATCATTGCATATGGTATAGAGAACAACTTGAGCATGTATTTAGCAGATATATGACACATTTGTTGACTTGATCACCTAATGGCCTGTTAGGAACCTGTACCTATTGTGGTCAGCTCAGGATGGTTCATCTGTCAACTATAGATTGAGATGGGAGGGTGACAGACCAGATTTTTTTTCAGTGATGGGTATAGAACCCAGGGTCTTATGAATGCCAGGCAAGCATTCTATTACTGACCCACACCCCCAGCCCAGGGCCAGCATTTAGAAGGCAGCCTGCAAAGCCTGCTCTTGTGGCCAAAAGAGCTGCAGATTCTTGAAGCTTACAAAGCAGTCAACCTCTGTTCCTTTTCACTTCTACCCTGAGAAAAGCTGGTATGTCAGGGGACCTGACATCTATGCCTCCAGATTCTCCACGTTCAGAGCCCCAAATGTTCACTGCAGGTACTGGGAGACCTTGGCTCTGGGGCATGCAGTTGGCCAATCCCATCCTGAGAAATCTCTTAAATCCCCCCTCCCCTTCCCAGGTCCTGGCTGCTTTCTTCTCTCTTGGCCATTTGTCAGCCTCTAAGCATGCAGTTCATGATAATTTCCATACTAATGGAATCAACCCAGCTGGAGACTCTCTACCCAGGTAACATAGCATTTCTGTGTTTTAGGGACACTCTTCCCACAAAAAAGAAATGCTAAGAAAAGAGGGTTGTGTACTTCTGCCACGATTCATAATACATGTTAGCATTTGAAAGACCCAGAAAAGTCCTACAGTAGAGAAATTGTTCTGTTTTGATTTTAGCATTTTACAAGTGCCCCCAAACACACCCTGTTGCCTTAAAGTTACCTATACTAGGGACACCCTTGGGATTAACTGTAGCATAAATGAAATGAATCTTTGTTTTAAATGTCTCTTAACACAGCTCAGATCCCAGCAGCCATGACCCAACTTGAGTCTAAGTCTCTTTCCCATGTCCCCCTAGGTGTGGGAGTAAAAAGAACTGTCATAGAAAAGAAAGGGATTAAGTTTTATAGGTTACTCTTCAGGGACAATTGGCCCAGTTCTGAGTACTCTGTCAATGGATTCCTACTCTAATTAGGCCGTGTGGGCATCGTTGCCTGGAAAGTGTGAGAAGGGTGGGAAGTCCTAAGAAATTCCATTCTTCACCTTTCCATTTGAGAATCCATGTTCATTCTTCTCTTTTTCAATGGACACCAGTGTAAGAAGAGTAGAAATTTAGACCTATTCCTTTGGCACTTTCCAGAATTCTCCTCTGCCTAGGGTCACCTTTGGAGGCAAACTTTCTTCCACCCTCAACTACAACTTTTATCACAGGCCCTCATCCTGTTCCCTCTCCCAGCCTCACTAACACACACTCCTAATTCTGGCCAAGCAAATTCCTCCTCTCCCCCTTTGGCCAAGGCAGTTTGGGCCACCCAAGTGTGCCAGGGTCAGGCCCTTTACAGGCCTAATACCACATACTGGGCCGCATTGAGCAGGAGACAAGAAAGACAAATGTGACTTTGCAGCCTAAGACCCCCACTCCACAGGAGGGAAGGCTGTCAGACAGCTTAGTGTTGGCCAGCCCCCAAGTGGTGTTGGCCACCTCCTCCACGGGGGCCCTTGGGGCCAGCAGCTTGGAGAGCAGGCTGCTAAAACGGCTCACGGTGGTGGCCACTGGTTCTGGGCTCGGGAGTGGACTGTATGTGGTGAAGTGCAGTTCCTCGGGATCCACACACAGGCCATCCAAGGAGCGCTCAAAGACCACGTGGCTGAGGTCCAGGCCTGCCACGGAGGCTGGGGAGGCACAGGGCACATGGGCCACACGCCCGGAGCCCTCCATCCAGTCACGCAGCCACTCTAGGTGACAGTCACAGCGCCAGGGATTTCGGAAGAGGAAGAGGCGGCCCAGGAAGAAGCCCGGCTGGAAGGCGGCCCAGGAGAGCACCATGAGTTGGTTACCGTTGAGGTGCAGGGCCAAGAGGCCCGAGAGGTTCTGGAAGGCGCCCTCCTCCACGAAGGTGATGCTGTTGCGGTCCAGGTAGAGCAGCTCGAGTTCGGACAGGTCGGAGAACCAGGTGCGTGCCACTCGGCCCAGCGCGTTGCCTCCCAGGTTGAGCGTGCGTAGGTGGCGCAGGCCGCAGAAGGCGGCGGCGGGCAGCTCGGCCAGCAGATTGTCGTTGAGCAGCAGGTGCTCGAGGGCGCCGCAGTCGCCGAAGGCCCCGGCGTGCACGGCACGGACGCGGTTGGCCTGCAGGCTGAGCGAGCGCAGGCATCGCAGGCCAAGCAGCGAGCTGGAGGCCACGGCCTCGATTCGGCCTCGCTCCAGGTGCGCGTGCGTCAGGTTGGCCAGGCCGCGCAGCGCGTCGGGCACGCGGCGGAACAGGTTGTCGAAGGCGGCGAGCTCCCGCAGGGCGGGCAGTTCGGCCAGGAGGCGCTCGGGCACGCTGAACAGGCTGCAGGCTGTCAGGTCCAGTAGGCGCAGGCGGCCGAGGGCCGCGAAGGTGCGCGCGTGCAGGTAGCGCAGCTCGCTGTTGTGCGCCAAGCGCAGCTCCGCCAGCAGCGGCAGGCCCTTGAAGGCGCCGGGCGTGATGAAGGACAGATTGTTGTGGCGCAGGGACAGGTGGCGCAGCGACGGCAGCGTGCCGAAGGCCCGCTCGCCCAGGATGCGCAGGCCGTTTCGGTCCAGGTCGATGGAGGCCGCCTCGCACGGAAACTCGGCGGGTATCCGCAGGAGGCCCGCTCGATCACAGCGCACGGAGCAGCCTTGCTCCACGCTACTGCAGGTGCAGGCGGCAGGGCAGGCCCGCAAGCAGGCCTCGGTGGCCCGGGTGCAGGGCCAGGCGACGACCACCGCTGGGGGAAGAGGCAAGGAGGAATAAAGACAAAAAAAGGAACAGCAGTCAGGCAGAAGTCACCACATAGCAAGATGCATGCCCTCCACCAAGTTGTGCATCCTTCAAATGGCCTCTTTCCATCTCCCCTGCCTCACACAGAAAACCTTTTACTTTCCACTTATCTTAATCAGCGCAACCTATACCACAGTCTAAGCTCCTTCCCAGCTGGATCATCACTGTGTGCCTTTAGAATGTCACCTAGAGGGTTACATACCTAGGGAATCTCTGAGGGTGTCACTATAGCCTATGCCAACGTTGTGCTAACCAATGCTACATGGGCCCCTAAACGTTTGAAATATGGCCAGTCTAAGTTGAGAGGCACTGTAAATGTGGAAGACGCACCGTGTCTCAAAGACTTGCTACCAAAAACAATAAAATATCACAGCAGCCATTTTATACTGTTCACATATTGAGATAGCATTTTAGAAAATTAATGTCAAGTGGCTGGGCGTCGTGGCACACACCTTTAGTGCCAGCACTCAGGAGGCAGAGGCAGGCCAATCTCTGTGAGTTCAAGGCTAGCCTGGTCTACATAGCATGTTCCAAGCCAGCTGGGGCTACAGGGAGACTCTGCTTCAAAAAGCTCCCCCCCCCAAAAAGAAAAGAGAATGTCAAATGTTTCTACCTTTTTTAATGTGGCTACTTAAAAATCACATATGCATATGGAGCTTATGTTGTATTTCTGTTGGTGTCATTGGCTCGTGACACCATAAGAATTGAATTCTTGAAAGTCCCCAATGAGTCAAGCCACATGGAAAAGGAAGAATTAGAGAGCAAGGGAGGTTGGAAATGAAAAAAAGAGTCTACTATCTTTCTTACATATTTTTAAAAATATTTTATTATTTTTATGTGTATGTGTGTATTGCCTGAATGTAGGTAAGTGCACCTGTGTCATGCTATGCTCTCGGAAGACAGAAGAGGCTGTTGGATCCCCTGAAAATGGAGTTACAGACAGTTGTTAGCTGCCATGTGGGTGCTTGGATTTGAACCCATGTCTTCTTCCAGAACAGTCAGTGTTCTTAACCGCTGAGCCATCTCTCCCGCCCTATATATATAAATATTTATATATATAGTCACTTAAAATTAAAAATTAAGGATAATAATCAAATGGACACATGGAAATGTGCATCCCAGTGATGGTAGAAGTAAAACCTGAGGCATAGAGAATGAAATCTCAGGCAAAATTTTTAATTGGATCTGACCTACATGCAGGCAACACACACATACACATAAAAAATTAAAAAAAAAAAGAATTGCCTTGAGATATATAAGGACTAGTAATATAGGTGGAAGAATCTTGTGGGATAGACAGTTACTATTTGACTATGTCAGCAGATCATCAATTTTTTAATAATGTTCACAGGACAGACAGAATTGTTACTGAATGTAAGAGTTCTTCATATATTCAAGATACAAATCTTTATAAGATATATAATTTATCGGGGCTGGAGAGATAGCTCAGTGGTTAAGAACACTGACTGTTCTTGCAGAAGACCCAGGTTGAATCCCAGCACCCACATAGCAGCTAATAACTGTCTGTAACTCCAGTTCCAGGGGATCCGACATGCAGGCAATACATGCATATACATAAAATAAAAATAAAATAAAATATTTTAAAATATAAAATAAATGTTGTTCTGAAAATTCAAGCAGATAAAGTCTTCAAAACCTGGAGAGAGGACCAAGAGAAAAGGCAGCATTGAGGCTGGGGGTATAGCTCATTTGGTAGAGGGCTTGCCTCTCACAAACAAAGCCCTGGGCTCGATCCCCAGCCCTACATAAACTGGGTGTGATGTGGTGCATGCCTGTAATCCCAGCACTCAGGAGCTGGAAGGGAGAGGATCAAAACTTCAAGGTCATCTTCAGCTACACAGTGACTTCAAGGCCACTCTGGGATACATAAGAGAAGAGGAGGAAAGACAAAAAGGCTGCAATGACAGATGGGACATTTTTATTTTCTGACCAGGAGCAGATTTCAGGCACGGTGTTCAATTCACAGTTCTTTGAGGGGTGGGGGAGAGGCTGCACTAACTGGCCTGGAACTCACTGTGTAGGACCAGGCTGGCCTGGAATTGACAGAAATCACCTGCTTCTACCTCCCGAGTGCTGAGACTAAAGTTGTACATCACCACACCCAGCTAATTCTCAATGCTTGAGAAGAAAAAGGGTGCCCAGATAAAATGTGCCCAATTCCTAGCAAACACCCTGGCCTGTCATTTGGTGCCTCCCACCTAAGCCCTTGTGGGAGCCTGAGGTGTGTACAGGATGCTTGCTCTTGCTTGTGTAGGTTTGCTCAGTTTCCAGCGGCTTTTCAGCTCATCTGTTCTTGCACACTCCATGACTTCTTGGTGACTCAGAAGGGGATTTGGCCCTTTCAGACTTGTCTTTAAGTGTTAATTGAAAACTAGCTTCTTTACTATTCCAGCATTGAGGAAGCTTGATATAGTTTTCCCTTCTCCACAAAAACTATAAGATAGACACCAAGCTTCCAAAAATATTCTTGGAACCTATGTTGCCAGCTTGGCTGTGAACAGGCTCCTGTTGTTCTAGGAGCCACCCTGCTAGAGAGACAGGGCCAAGAATACAACCTTAACTCCAGTCCTCAGCAGGACAGAGGTGTAACCTTTTCCCATCAACTCTTCCAACTAGGTTAAGTCGAAGCACCAGATTTCCTTACACATTGTCCTTCATTCTACTCCCTTCTCCTTTCTAATTAAGAAAAGTACACTCCAATCATATGACTCATGTTTCTACACCACAACAGCAAACATTGTTCCAGGCACACAGTATGGCTCAATAAATGTTCGCAGAACATAATAGAATTGATGCCTTCCTTTGTGGGCTTCCTGCTAGAGGATGTTGTCTATTTTAAGAACTCTTTGTCAAGTGTTCATAGGATTATAAGAGAGACAGGATACAACTAATTTTTGTAATGCAAGAGATCAAAAAAGTAAGCCACCAATGTTTTTTTTAAATGCTTGCAAGGGATGTGAAATGAAGCTTGCCATTGCCTATATCCCTTTTACAGTTAAACATTTCAACCAGGTGTTATGGTTTGACTAAAAATATACCCGAAAGCCTCACACAGTAAAGACTCACTTGCCAACTGACTTTTGAGGGCTTTTGAGAGGTGATTGGATTGTGAGAGCTCTGTCTTCATTAGTCAACTAACCCATTGATGGTTTTAAAGTTGGGTGGATTGTTAAAGAGGTGGGGCCTGGTTGGAGGAAGTAGAACACTGGTGTCATGTCTTTAAACAGAATGTCTTGTCCTAGTACTCTGTCTCCCTTTGCTTCTGATTGCCATGAGACAAGCAGCTCTGCTCCACTATATACCTCCAATATGCTGTCCTGCTTCCCCACAGGCCCAGAAATAGAGCCAAGTGACCATGGACTGAAACCTCTGAAACCATGGCCAAATAAAGCTTTTCTCCCTTATGTTGGTTTGTTCAGGTATTTTTTAAAGACTTTAGTTTTAACTCTGTGTGTGTGTGTGTGTGTGTGTGTGTGTGTGTGTGTGTGTGTGTCTATGTGTGTGTGCGCACGCATGTGAGTGCAGGTGCACAAGGAGGTCAAAAAAAGGGCATCAGATCTCCTGGAGCTGGTGCTACCCAAGGTTGTGAGCTATCCAGTGTGGGTGCTGGGTACAGAATAGATCCTCTGCAAGAACAATACACATTCTTAACTGCTGAGCCATCTCTCGAGCCTCTGTTCAGGTATTTTTTTTCACAGTGATGTAAAAGGACTAATATAACGTGAATGTATAACTAATTTTAAAAGTTTATTTTAAACCTGTGCGAGCAGGGCATGGTGGCACATACCTTTAATCCCAGTACTTGGGAGGCAGAGACAGGCAGATCTTTGTGAGACTGAGGCCAACCCATCTACATAGCAAGTTCCAGGCCAGTTGGGGCTACAGGGAGACCCTGCCTCAAAAACTAACTAACTAACTAACTAACTAAATAAATAAATAAATAAGTAAATAAATAAATAAATAAACTTAAGTGAAACATGCAAGATATCCTCACTATTAGAGACCTATTTTCAGTCTCTGAAACTTTGAAACTATTAAGAACAATAGCTAATTTACTGGATTAGTTAGCAAAATTTTAATTAAGTCAATTTACAAAGCAAGACAAAAGACTCCAGTATTTGTTTATAGGGTATGAAGACTAGGTATATGTTTAGTAAACCAGAAAAGCAGGGCACCATGAGAAAGATCTTTTTAATAACATATTTTGAGGAGTTCTGCTTGCAGTTGTAGCAGAGTGCTTCTATCACATGAACATTTCTGTTGATACCTACAGTATTCCTATAGTTATTACTGTGAGGAGACTACAAAAAAGGGTCTAAGAGGCTGTGTTAGCCAGGGCTGCACATTAGAATCACGTGAGCACTTTTAACACTCTCTAGCATAGGCCAGTTACATCAAGAGCTTCAGGGATGGGACCAGGCATTGGTATTTGTAAAGCTCCAAGGGACTAGACCAGGTGTGGTGGTGCATGCCTTTAGTCCCAGCAACTGGGAGGCAGAGGGAGGCTGAACTTTGTGAGTTCAAGGCCAGCCTGGTCTACATAGTGAGTTCAGGTCAGCTGGGACTACAGGGAGACCCTGTCTCAAAAAAAAAAAAAAAAAAAAGACAAAATAAAAGCTCCAAGGGACTAGTCACAATATCTGTCCAAAGTCAAAACCCAAGGACCAACTGGATGTGGTGGCACATGCCTTTAACCGCAGCACTTGGGTGGCAGAGGCATTTGAGGCCAGCCTGGTCTACATAGCTAGTTCTAGGTCAGCCAACGCTACACAGTGAGACCTTGTCTTAAAAAAAAAACCTACATGAACAAACTATAAAATGGGATTCATCTGTTGTTGGGTCTCCGGGACCCTCATAATTGTGGCATAACTTATGACAAGGCCTATTGTAACTTCCTGAGCTGGACTAAAGTTTGGCGACCTGTCTCTGGCCAGTCACTTCCTCATGGAGGTGACTCAGCAGGGCCCGACCTCGGACTGCCTCTCCCCAATAAAGTTTAGCGACCTGTCTCTGGCCTGTCACTTCCATGTGGAGGTGACTCAGCAGGGCCCTATCTAAGATTGCCTCTGCCCAGTAACAACTGGCGTGGTAAATTCCCAGTGGCCCACAGTCCTCACCCCAGATGACACATTCCTATACCCACCCCCTTTTCCACACCCCCTTTGCTTAAACTATATAAGTTGATGTCTGATGCAATAAAGTGAGTTCCTGCCTCGACAAGACTCCCGACTCGGTGTGGTTTTTGAGTCGCCGACACTCACCATCCCGCTCAGCCCCTGAGAGAGGAACACAGGCTGGTCCTGGCCTCTCTCCCTGTGCCGTACCTGTCGGAGAGCGATCCGACAGATTGGTGCCCCATGTGAGGTGCTGCCTATCACGAAGTTCGCTGACAGGCCAATCAGTCTGTGGGTGAGTGTACCCCATAAATTATGGGGAAGTCCAATTCTACCCCTCTTTAGATTCCCTCAGGGTCCTGCTCAAAAGCAGGGGCCTTGACCTCTCAGACAGTCAAGCTCTCCAGGCATGGGGATGCTTGCTAAAGATCGCACCCTGGCTTCTGGAGAGCAATCTCTTTGATTGGGGTACTTGGGATAGAGTTGAAAAGTTAATCAGACAGGCCCAGATAGAAAAGGGAGAGATCCCCCCTCTGGGAGTGCTCCCCACGGTATCTGCCTTAAAGGGCTGCTTTCCCCCATGCCCACTGAGGACAAAGGTGGTGGAGGCCCAGACTCCAAACCTGGCCAAGGCTGCTGACTCAGTCCCTGAGGCACAGTCAGACTCCAAGCTGGATACCGGGCCCTTGGGTCACACAGATCCTCCGGATTGATCTGAACATCTGTATCCCTCCCTAGATCCTTTTGGGGAGTGCCCCTTGGCCCTGTAAAGGCCCTCTACCCTCACAAACACAAACTAATCCATTCTGGACTCCCTCTGTTCCACCCCCGTACAATGGTGGTGAGGTCATTGAGGAGGGGACTGCTCACCTTTTCCCTGTTTTAAGGTGGCCCCTAATAAAATTCAAAACATTCCATCTTTTAAAATACTGGGCACTACGTTAGCTATAGATGCTGTTTCGCCCACTAAGCCTCAGCTTTCCATTCAGGATACTTATAATCTGCCCCAACTTCAAAAGTTATTAGGGGAAATTAATTGGCTTAGACCCTGGATACCCATCACCACTGAGGAGTTGGTTCCCTTATTTGACCTCTTGTGAGGCCTTGACTTAACCTCCAGGGTAAAGTTACCACCCCAGTGCCTACAAATTCTAGCTAAAATCCAACAATCCATAAATGAGGCCACTCTAAAAAGCTTTGATCCTGACACCCCATATCTCTTTATCTTTTCATTGGAAGTACACTGTGCACCACTCTCTTGGCGCAAGAGGGCGAGCCCATACAATGGATCCATTTATCCATGGGTGGAACTCCTCAAGTTTATTCCATGGTCAACCAAATTGCTGATTGCATTATCAACGGTAGGGACACAGCAGTCCTGTTGTTTGGCATTGAGCCTCATACCATTATCACCCCCTATAGATTGACAGATTTTACATGGCTTCAAAGAAACAACGAGAGAATTGTGCTGGCTTTGGAGGGATTTTTTGGCAAAATTGACTGCCACTATGGCCCCTATAAGTGGATGAGCTCCTTCTCAAGGTTGGAGTGGGAGCCCCCTAGATTTTTCTTTCTCAACCCAATCCTGAATTCCTAACTGTGTTTACTGATGGAGGGCATCTAGGAGCCTCCCTGGTCATTTATCCTCCCTCAAAGCAGAGACAAGCTCCTGTACCCATTAAATCAGTC